GGGGGGGGGGGGGAGCCATGCCTGCCCTCACCTGGTTCCATGAAGGTGAGGACGCCCTTGGCCTGGCTGCCCCGCTGCAGCTCATCCTCCTCCAGCTGGTAGCTGTCGAAGCTGAAGCTCATCACCACGTTGCTCTCCGGCGTCCCGGCCGGGCTCAGCTCCTTGAAGCGCTCGACTCCCACCGAGCCCATCGCAGCCGACCTGGGCGGGAGAGTGGTGACACTAGGATCGGATCGTCCTGCAAGGGATGTTCGGCACGTGGCTGGCCCTGAGCCTTCCTTACCCAACTCTAACGCTGCGTCTCCAATGTTTTTTCCACAAGGAAAGGTGCTTTTCCTGAGCAGAGGGAGGGGTCTCTTGACCCACTGGGCAGCAGTTTGGATTTAGGGTGGTGAGTGGTGATGGGGGGTCCGTGCAAGCCTCCCCCAAGGGATCGTCCTGCAAGGGATGTTCGGCACGTGGCTGGCCCTGAGCCTTCCTTACCCAACTCTAACGCTGCGTCTCCAATGTTTTTTCCACAAGGAAAGGTGCTTTTCCTGAGCAGAGGGAGGGGTCTCTTGACCCACTGGGCAGCAGTTTGGATTTAGGGTGGTGAGTGGTGATGGGGGGTCCGTGCAAGCCTCCCCCAAGGCACAGCGCTCGCACTAGCCTGGCTCAACACCTCCCCGTGGTGCTGCCACTGCGCTTCCCAAAAGCAATTAGAGCAATTAATGGGTGAAAGCCACTGATGAAGGAGGCTGCTAGGGAAGATCCCGGCTGCCTCAAGCCCTTGCTCTGCCACGCACTGGTTTATGCCCTCCCGGCAGAGCCACGGCCGGTGCAGACAGACTCCCGCAGCCTTTCCAGGGAGAGGATGGGATGCAACATGGCTTTTAGGGTGAGTATTTTGGATCTGCACCTTCGAGGGCCCAGGGCATAGCTGGGAGATGCTGAGAGCTGCCAGCAAGACCCCCGGGAGCACGCCCCAGAGGGTCTGCACCAAATGTGCCCCAAAAGGAAGCCCCCCCTTCCCCCCCAAACCCCTGGCATCCTCCTGCGACACCACAAGAGCCACCCAAAACGTGGTTCATCCCCCCGGGGGCAGCTCAGGCCCTGGGGGGCAGCCCGGGGGCCGCT